TATGAGGCACTGTGTGTGGCATCATTCTAATAAAAGGCAATTATCAAAACTAGGAGGTCAGTTTGGACTTGACAAACCTTCAACCAGAGGCCTGGCAGGACCATTGACACTGCCACTTGGCATTTGCTGTTGGTGTCACAGTGTGCATGTTCCAGCTGCAGGACATCAGCTTTGCATTTCAAACACTGCTGGATTAGTGTTTGGGGCTCGTTCCGTTTTCTATGACTAATTTAAGTAGAATAGTCAAGAGGAGGACATGATGTTCAGCTTCCTGGAATCCAGCAGGCCCAGAACAACACACAGTGAACTGCATTTATCTAGAATAAAATGAAAAATGACTGTTGCTTAGAAACAGAGGTCAACCAAATCCATGATTTGGTTGGACTGCTATCCAATCTGACTTTAAAACTTGAAATTTAAAATGACTGTTGCAACAAATTTCCCTTTCTACGATGTTAGATTGCTTTTAAAATTAATGCTCGTAAATGGTAAAAAGGAAAGATAAAATAAATCTAAATTAAACAACGAAGTTTGATGCTTTAAGGTTTTTGTTTTATGTTCTTGAGGCTGGTCCTATGTAGTCCAGGCTGACCTTGGCCTCACTGCATAGCTGAGTGTCCTTTCTGCTTCCACCTGGAAAGAGCTAGGATTACAGGAGTGTACCACTTTGCCTTGTTATAATGAACCCTTCCCATCACTTGAGAAGCAGGAATATTTCATGTGTAAACAAAATTATCATCAGGAATCACATTATGGCTCTTGCCTTTCTTTAGCATCCCTTCTCACTCAAATCAGGGCTGAGAAGTGGCTCAGTGGGTAAAGCACTTGCTTTGGGAGCATGATGGCCTGAGCTCAGATGCTCAAAGCTCATGTAAAAGCCAGATGCCGATGCACAGGCAGAGACAGGCAGATCTTTGGGGCTCACTGACCAGCCATTCTAGCCAAAATGGCAACCTCCAGTTGCAGAGAGACCCTGTCTAAAAACAAATAAAGGAACAAACAACAGCGGAGGGCAATAGAATAAGATCCTACATGCACACACATGGGTTAGAAAGGGACTAGAAGTATAGTCAAACATGATGGATTTCAAAAGTTTGTTCTACATTGAATGCTTGCACCCTTCCCCAAATTCTTCTGCTGGACCCCTAACCTGCAGAGTGATGCCTGGATATGGGTCTTTGGAGAGTTATTATAAGTCATGATGGTGAGGACCTTGTAATAGGCTTGTACCTAACAGGAAGCAGCAGCTCTCTCTCTCTCTCTCTTCCTCCCTCCCTCTTTCCCCTCCTCTCCTGACTCCAGTCCCCTTGCTTACACCAAGAAGAGGCCACATGGTGACAAAGTAGCCTTTGGCAGATCTGGAAGTTCACACTGACTGGAACCTGACTGCTGGGTCCCTGATCTTGGACTTCCATTGTCTAAGTAGATAAACACCAGGCCTGATTTCTGTTTTCCCAGGGAACTTTCTTGTCATCTAATATGGTTTTCATGTAGGAGGAAGCACTTACAACCACCTGCAACTCCAGCTCCTGAGGATCCAAAGCCCTCTTCTGGCCACCATAAGCACACACAAATGGCACACGTTCACAGAAACATGCATATAAATAAAGTAAAAACATTAATCTTTTTTAAAAAGAGGAGCTCTGCTTAGAGATTAGGAATGATTGTAGGAAGAACTGCAGATTCTTAGGAAGAAGTAGAGGGTAATGGAATGCACTTGGGAAGGATGGGAGCCAGCCAGAAGGGACAAGGGAAGGGCAGTGGGGGAGAGGGACAAATGAGAATGAAGTATAATGACACCTATGTATGAAAATATTGGGGTACAATCTATTACTTTGTATAATGACCTAACAATAATTTAAAAGTAATGTAGACTTTATGTATGTATACATGAATATGTGCATGTGTGTGTGTGTACACATGTGGATGTTGGAAGTACAGAAGTTAACATTGGAGTGTTTTCCCTTTTGCTCTCTGCCTTACATTTTGAAATGGTCTTTCACAGAATCCAGAGTTTACAGAATGAGTTGACTGGCTGGCCAAAAGCCGTGGGACCCCCTTGTCTCCCCCCTCCCAGGGCTAGGGTTACAGATGAAGGCAACCCTGCCCATCTTCTCATGTAGGTGCCAGAAATCCATAGTTATGCCCTCATGTTTATGCAACAGGCACTTAACCAGCTATACAGAAAATCAACTTTCCCAACTCATACTGGCCCGATGACTTTGCAACTGTGCTAATTCATGATATATTACAATTTTCCCAAGTTCTTACATAAGATATTAACTGTCCACAATTTGACCAACTGCAGACAAAATCATCTTTGAAAAGCACTTTAAAAACAAATATTTTTATTTCACAATATGATGCATAATCAGTCCCTTAAGTTCCTCTGTGCTGCATCGTGGCTCAGGGTTAAGACCGCCCCTCTTCATGGATACTCCATTTGGAGGGAATTGCTGCACCCCAGTTGCCACTACAACACTAAGCTTGGTCCATGTCCACAGCAGCATCTCTGGGCCATCACCATTTTTTCTGCTCCTCACTTCTTGCAACACTACACTTTTTTGCTTCTTGAAAACAAAGATTATTACAGAGGTTGGCAGAACATTGGATGAGGGCTGATGGGCATTTCGAAAGGTTGTGATTAATCTGAAATGCTGAGCAGGTCAGAACTAGCTTTTCAGAGCACAAGCTAGTCAAGTCTCTGATGGATATGATGATGTGACTTTCAGAAGGCAGTAGTGGTGTCAAAGAATGGTAGGAATCAGCTTGTGGTAGAGCTCATGCCCATGCCCTGTGCATCTTGGCAGACAGTTGAACTCTGTAAACAGTTGTCATTGGAAGGTATTCGTTACACTGAATTTCCCACAAGACCCCTCCAAGTAAATGTCTTTGCAGGCAAGCATCTTGTCTTTGAGAAAATACAGTGGGAAAAACTTGCCATGGAAATCAGCAGGAAGACTTCTAAAACTCAGTGTGTTTTTTTTCAGCTCATTGGCTCCCTCTTCTATAGCATATATTATATTCACTCCACAAACATTTATTGGCATTTCCTTTGCATTGGGTACTGTTTCAGGCTCTGAAGACTAAATAACCCATGAAGTCCCTGCCATGTACAGCTCCCATTCTAGTAGGTGGAGACAAATAAACACAGATCACAGGGTTCATAACAGCATAAAGTGAAGTGAAGAGGGGCTGACACTGGCTACAGCAGCCTAGTGCACATCTTACATCATCTTTTCCTCCAATCCAAGTCTCACTTTCCTCATCCATACAATGTGGAAGGGTCAGACTAAATGATTTAGGTCCTTCCTGGTCCTTTATGGTCTTATGAGAACATTGTGCACAAAATCAAAAACCAGCTGGTTGACTGTTTTAACATTTTGAAGATTTTTTAAAATAAAGTACAATGAATCTTTAGGCATTCCATGCACATTGATTATTTTAAATGCAATCTTGTCTTTACCTGCATAGTGTCTTATTCACTACAACTATAGAATGAAATCATCTCACCATCCTTGGCCATATAAGAAATAAGTTATTTATTCATAAAAACATATTCATTTGCATTGTTGATTACAAATCCCACCTCATTTGTGGAATGTTCCCTAGAGGTGACATCCTCCATTGGATGTGACTGTTACTCTGTTACTAACCCATAACATTGGCTTTGTGGTCCTGTGTCATCTTTTAAACCAGTATATCTGTTCCTAAAAGCATGAGTCAGAAGTTGCTTTGAAGAGGACCCCAAAGGACCCCAGGGTTCCAGGAACTTACAGGTGCTCCTAGGATGCAAGAAGAACTCTGAAATTTGGTCTATCAAATTTCTATCACCATACCATCTGAAAAGGAAAGTGGATATGCACATTTCAGACTGGGACAATGTGAATTACTATTGCAACTTCTTTGGAAGCCGTGTTGGAATGTTACTATATAGTTATCAGTGCAAGCAAAGTATTTCGTCTTTATAATCAATTACTTTCCCCCTAAAAAAGACATAGTGAAAAAACTGGAGGGTAAATAATGTTAGACTCCTGCTTGTTAGCTGGAAGGTATTATAATGCCTCCAGTTCTTTTGGAAGACAAATTGTATCCACTGGATTGCTCCATAAGCAATCCAGCTTTTTGAACAACCCAGTAGTTAACAGGGATGCTACACACTGTGGGGAATCGTGTGCCTTATCTGAACTGGATTCCCACTGATACCTGGGAGGTTCTCTCTGTGTTTATCTGGTTGCTATGTTTTGGCATACCCTGCATGTGTTTACAGATTTTATCAGATGGGCTCAATGACAAGGACACAGCTTGGCAGTATCTTTGGGAACCAAGGAAAATTTCTTCTTCAGTAATGGAATTTAACATCTTCCTGGTGTCAAGACACACCATTGCTGTCCTCAGAAGTGCCTAATGTGGATAGCTCGGTAAAGTCTGTGAGTCCCTACGGTGACTGAAAAGGAACAAAAAGCAACTTCTTGGCTTAGTAAATACCCTCATGTCAGAACCAGGTGGGTACAGCACCCTCTGGAACCTTGAGGACTCTCAAAGCAGCTCTCTACATCTTTCGTTGATAAGCAGTCTCTTAAACAGGGCTGTATGGACAAGATGAGGGCATGCCTGGTGGGCCCCAGCTGTATAAAGGAGCATCAGAGGAGAGCAAGAGAGTTCAGGTGACTCTTGGCAACCTGGATCACAGTTACAGGTAGATTCTTGTTAGTACATAAGATGGGTTTTGATATATATCATGGCATTTGTATCTGTGTTTGGTATTGTTTGAGCATAGGTCATCAACAAGAACATGGCTGCTTTTCTCAAGGACAAGCAAGAGAAATAATGAAGTCCTGCTTATGTCAAGTGCCCTTACACCAATGTGACTACTGTCCCCTCATCCACTCCAAAGAGTCCAATGAGTTGGCCTCACTTTGGCTGTGAGATCCTTAGGGAAGTCACCATATGCAATGTGTCTTCAGGTTGTAAGTCCTTGAGTTGCAAAGGAGTTTGTCTTAAGTCCAAACCTCCATGGGCACTATTGCTTCTTTGGTTCCTACAGAAGGCAGCAGGTTTTCCTCAGATAAGAAATAAAAGGGGAATTGCACCAAGAAGCCCCGAATCTTTCTCAGTTCTTCCTCAGCACGAATGGGATCATCTTTTGCTAATATGGGCTTGCTTATAAAGTCTCTCAACTGCATTAAATTGTGCACTTCATCATTTGGAAGGCAACGGAACACCTGTTAAAATACAAATTGGAAATTGAGTTATTTATTTAAAAACAAGCACAGGTTTCTTATGGAAAATGTTCATTAAAACAAGCAAAACCTTTGTTTATGAAACACTAATTTTCTGTCAAAGCACAAGTTTAAGGGTTACTGTTTACAGCTGGGCAGAGTGGCACACGCCTGTAATCCCCAGCACATGGGAACTGAGGCAGGAGAATCAGCAGTTTAAGACCAATTGGGCTATGCAGTATGTCCTGGTTTCAACCAACCAACCAAACCAAAGAACTGTAGTTGCTGTTTTCATATGCTACAGACACTGTTAGACTTGTTTCCATTTTAAAAGGCCACACCCGCATTCTTACTTTATCATCTATAGTGCTCATTAACCACAGAATAAAGACAAGCTGGCAGTTAGGAATGCTTGCTAGGAAGGACATTTTAAAATAATAACCATCCCTGAATTTCACTAGAGATCCCTGTCTAAGGGGGAAACATCAAGTTCTCTTTCTCTGACTTTTCATTTTGAAAGATACACATGTCAACAAGTTCAGTGTAAACATGTGTTAACATACAACCCTTTGCTAAGAGGGTTTCAGACACCACAGCACTTTACATAAAAGTGTTACATAAAAATGAGATCAAGAACCCACAGATTCAGCATCATTCCTGTACCCAAGAGACTCGATTCCACAGGCTCATATGCAGATTTACCCCATTATGACCAAAATGTCTTTTCTCATTGTTTCTCCCCAATTTCAGGGGCTGAACAGGCCATACAATGAGTTTGTAATGTTCTGTTAACACATGGCCTGCTTCATCATAGCCTGGAGTCCTCAGTATGAAATAAAGCAACGTAGATGACTGTCCTGTCCCACTAAGAAGATGGCATGTCTGTGCAGAGGGAGCTCTGGGAGACCCAAAGGAGGACAATTCTTACCCAGCTTCTCACAGATAGTCAACAAATCTGACTTTTTCCTGAGGTAACCTAATCCACCATCAAACAATACTTAACTCTTTAGTAACCACAGGGAGGAAAAGAAAGCTCAGAGAGCCAAGCTGCGGCACACAGTTCCCAGTGGTCACCAGACGAGATGGGTTGAGCACACCCAATTGACCTACCTTCTCTTTGTCACTAAGCACCATCAAAAGTTGCTTAGTTGTGTACCTATGATGCTTTTGATGAGAGCCTTGAATCCTATGGAGGACAGGATGTCACTAAGGCCTTCTAAATGATGGCCCAGGGCTTCATGAATGCTAGGTAAGTACCCAACCACTGAGCTACATCTTTGATCTTTGAGATAGCTTTACAACATGGAGATATATTGATTATTTTCCACTAGCAATATTCTATCGATATGTATCAATAAAATTGGGATGATAATGAATGAAAAAGGGCAGGGGTGGGGGTGGAGATAAGTAAACATCACCTTATCATAAATGGTAGCATTTCGAGCTGCTGTTGAAACCCAAATCTCCTTGAAGAATTTGTCACTCACAGGATCCTGGAGGTCCTCACTTGGATCAGAAAGATAGCCAAGGACAAGCCTGAAATACAAGAGCCTTCGAATTGAGTGACCAAGATAAGAAGTTTGCAGTGGTAACAGCAAAGCAGATCAATCACAGAGACAGAAATCTTCCCAAGGGAATACAAAGACGCCATTAAACCCATTAAAACTTCCTTTTGTTCTAAAAGAATCCTTGTAATGTGGTCTAGGATGGCCAGACCCTTGACCATTAAGGTTAGCATCCAAACACTGGCCAGAAGGCAATGTGAGAAGCCCTTTCCAAGGATTATCTCATTAAGTACCAGCTGCAACTATGCCCACTTTACAGACAGAGGAATTAAATCGGGTAGAGTCTAAAAATCTGTTCTAGTTCATACTGCTGGTAGGAGGTAAAGATGGGACTCCTCCATGTGATGTGACCTTCTGTTTCCCTCCCTACTTCTTCTACATTGACTCCACCCCTCCCTTTGATCCTACTCTACCCTTCCCTTTTGTCTTCCTTCCCATCTCTTGGGTCAAGCACCATGCCCATCTCTTGGATAAGATATGAGAAAGAAAAACACGACTTCTCTTTATGTAGTTAAATTAGGTGAATGAGAGTGAATTGTGAGTCCTGGCAAGAAGAGTTCATTGTGATTGTCACAGATAGGGTGTGTTTTGAAAGGAGGGGATGGGTATGGCTTGGGAGGTTTTCCCTTCTCCTACCAACTCCAGATGCAATGGCTTTGTTTTTTCTTGTTTTCATTTTCTCCCTTTATTGAAAATATTTTTTCTCAGACAATATATCCTGATTATAGTTTCCCCTCTTCTACTCCTCCCATTTGCTCCCCATCGCCCCTCCCCTATAGATCCACCCCCTTTCTGCCTTTTATTAGAAAAGAACAGGGTTCTAAGAGATAATAACCCAAACACAACAAAATAAAACATAATAAAATAAAGCAAAAGCCATACATCGAGTCCAGACAACATAGCTGTGATGTTTTGAGATTCAGAACAAGATCACTCTGTCAGCCCTTCCATAGCTCCCTGTTCTGGTCCTGCAGGTGATGCTGGGTAGCCTAGCACTTCCCCACTGTCCCTCTCATGTGTTTTGCTTTTATTAGAGAAATTGCAATATTTTATGTCTTTTTTTTCAGCAGGTCGATTTGTCACTAATAGAATACAAATTATTTGGGAGAGCATGGCTTGGCTATTCTCATATCTCTGTGAGTGTCTGCCATAAGAAGTTGTATGTTAAGATGTCATCTAAGGGCTGGAGAAATGGCTCAGAGGTTAAGAGCACCAACTGTTCTTCCAGAGGTCCTGAGTTCAATTCCCAGCAACCACATAGTAGCTCACAATCATCCGTTATGAAATCTGGTGCCCTCTTCTGGTGTGCAGATATATATGGAAGCAGAATGTTGTATACATAGAAAATAAATAAAATCTTTAAAAATAAAAGATGTCATCTAAACTGATCATGTATAATCAAGAGACAAGAAATAGCAAGAAGGACTGGAGAGATGGCTCAGAGGTTAAGAACACTAGCTGGTCTTCCAGAGGTCCTGAGTTCAATTCTCAGGAACCACATGGTGGCTCACAACCATCTGTAATGAGGTCTGGTGCCCTCTTCCAGTGTGCAGACATACATTCATGCAAAACACTGTATACATAATAATTAAATAAATTTTTAAAATGCAAGAAATCACCAAGTGGGAACAAGACAGGTTTTAGGAACCATATTAAGAAAAGTATAGGGGTGGGGGGCAGGTTGGAGGTGGGGGAGAAGGAAGGGGGGTAAGGGGAGGGAGAGGGAGAGGGGACTTACATGTGTAACAAGCCTGTTCCCTAACTTGAATTAATAATAATAATAAAAAGAGAAAAAGAGAAAAAAAAGAAAACAAAAACCACTAAAAAAGAAATAAAGTATAATAACCCTTGTTCTTAAAGGAATCTGTATGTAGATTAAAAAGTATTCCCAAGACACTGACCATATCAGGAGACCCTGGTTCGAAGAATAAGCCCAGAGCTTAGGCAAGGCCTTTTTCATATGCCTTGTGAACTCAGCGAACACCAGAAAGGCCTCTGCTAACTACAGAACAACTGGAGCACAGGACATGTGAAGACTGGTTTTGGTGGTAAGTGAATGAAAGGACACCTCACTGATAACATCAGACAGAAGGGAGATAGGACCTGGCTTACACAGTAAAATAGAACTTCTGAGCAGAGTCAGGAGGATTGTTATATGTTGAAGAACAGCCTGATACACACAGTGAAATTCAGGTCACAAGCCTGGGCTACAGAATGAAACCCTGTATGTAAATAGATAAACAAATAAGAATAACTGGACAAGGAGACACATTCTATCCTGTATATATCTCTAGATCCAGATGGATAGATAGATAAACACACACACACACACACACACACACACACACACACACACACGTACACACATACAAAAATTATACTCTATAGGCAAGGGTTGAAACAGAAAGCAATCAGGAGCCTTGGCAGCAACACAGGTGAGATGACAGTGACTGTTTGGGGAGCAGAGGTTTTGCCAGGAGAGTAGTTGTTGTTAGAAAACTGTTGGTCTTGAGGACAATTGACAGAGATGTGGCATTGCCATTTACTGGGATGGTGGATTCTGTGGGTAAGCCCAGCTAGTGTGCAGAGACTGGGAATTCTACATTGAGTCTGTGAATCCATCATGTGAACAGTGGTGACCTTGAGTTTGAAAGAGGCTTGGCTGGAAATACCAACCTTCCAATTGCCCTTGTTTATATGCTGGTAAAACCATTTTTTGTAAAGAGTCCCCTAGAGGAGTGAGTGTCAACAGTGGAGATGACCCAGTGTAGCTGGAGGGAAGAGAGGCAATGGGCTAGGCTGGAGAAAGGCCAGAGGACACGGAATCCCATAACCACATGGAAAACTATGTCAAGGAGAATTTGTCAAATTTATGCAAAACTGACTTCTGTAATCTAAATATGAAATGTCCCCAACAGGTTCGTGTGTATGAACAAGTGATTGCCAGTGGGGTCATGGCTTTGCTTCAGAAGATTGTGGGATCTCCAGGAAGGTTAGCTTTTAGGAGAGGAAATGTGGCAGTGGAAATGTATGGCTGCAGTAGGTCTTGATATCCTCCCTCCCTCTCTCCCTCCCTCCCCCACCCTCTCCCACTCCTCCTATCCTTCCTTCCTGATGAGGTAAAAGATGAGACCAGTCACCTCATGTTCCTGCTGCATTGCTTTTCCCACCACAGTGGCGTGTGTCTCTTGAACCGTAAGCTAAAGTAAACCCTCTCATTAGCCTGCTTCTGATCAGCTGTTTGGTCACCACAACAAGTAAATCAACCAGCACAGTGACAGCAGTTTAATAATGTGGATACTATCCAGTTGTTATCCTTTCTGTGCTTAAGCAAATGCAGACCCACATACATCACTGTTAATGGTTGTAGAGTTTCCCATCATGTATAGTTTATGCAACCAATTATTTTATGATGGACATTTGTGTCATTTCCAATGCAATAATAAGTTCTTATTATAATGAGCAAATATCATAATGAATGCAGTTTAGGCATAATATGTAACATCATAAGGAGGAATTCTTCCAGAATGAAAATTCCTGGGTTAAAGACTATATGAAACCAGGTGGTAGTGGACCACATCTGTTCCACTCCCATCACTCAGGATGTAGAAGCAGACTGATCTCTGTGAGTTCGAGTCCAGCTTGGACTACAGAGAGAGTTCCAGGACAGCCAGGGCTACAGAGAAGCCCTGTCTTGAAAAAATTTTAAAAAATGAGAAAAGAAAAAAAAAAAAGAACAATTGTAACTATTTGAGGACAGGCTGTAAACCACTGTATACTCTCCACACATCTCCAGCAACAACTTGCAATAGTTCAGTCTATTTCACAGGTATTAAAGGCTTCCATCTCATTCTGTACTTTTTCTGCTACATAAAATCTCTCTAAATCAAATACCAGGGGTATACTAGGATTATTAAATTTTACAGCCTCAAAATTCTATTTCTATTTCAAATAATGTTTCTTTTTGATTACATGAAAATAACTATAAAAAAAAAGACACAAAGTGTTTGCACACCCCTGGCTAGCTGCTGAGAATTCAGGCAAAACTTTATTGCACTAAATCTGAAGAATAGAGAGGCTATGACAATAAATTAATTAGAATAGTATCATTAGCTTGGGATACATTTAAGAAGCTGGAAACTAAAGCATTAGAACTATTTCCACTAATTTATTCTTTAAATAAGAGGTGAGATAATGTATCCACCAATTTATAAGTTAAAGACTTGTGTAGGGAAAGTTAAATAAGTCTATAACAGACAAAGCTTAGTTCTACAAATACTTTCTCTTGTCAGCATTTAACTACATGAAAATGAATAACTAAATATATGAATAAGTTTAGGTGATCTTCTGAGGACAAAGTTTGAGAGAAAATGACTTTGCTTCTATGCCTTGGATATGTATTTGATATTTAACCACAAAATTAGGGAGGCAGAAACATTCCAAAAAACATTTTCTCTGTTCTTTGTATTCTGCACATCTCCTCCTCTTAAGTGGTTCCGAGCTCACCTGTGTGGCCATTGACTTCTGGTGAGTGATGGTTGCATCTGTAAAGCCAGGTATTTTTCTAGGATTTAATGGACTGTTTGGCTCATCGCTGTGACATTCACTGCAGACCCTGGAGGTTGATTCTGTCTCTATTTAGAATTGATTTCACATTGAAACGTGTCTCTCAATTTCTATTCAAAAATAGCCCAGATGGAAATGGATTGAAGCTGCATGTTAAATGGCTGTGCTCTAGGCTACAGTATTTTTCTATGGGAACACTTCCAATAAAGGGAGGGAAAACTGAAATTTTTTGTGGTGCTTTTTAAATATATTATCTGTATTTGCCAATGGGGTAAAGTTAAAATCGTTGTTCAAGAACAACTGTCTTTTTAAGAGTGTAAAAATTTCCAGGAAAAAATACTACACCTGGGAATTATCTTCTCATGAAAGGTATAGGCTCAGCATAAAGGAGAAAATGAAGTCTTA